CAGCATAGATTGTCATTGGTGTTTTTTTTTTTTATTTTAGCCATTCTGGTCGGTGTAAGATTATATCTCAGAGTTGTTTTGAGTTGCATTTCTCTGATGGCTAAGAATTTTGAGCACTTTCTTAAATGTCTTTCAGCCAGTTTAGATTCCTCTGTTGAGAACTCTCTATTTAGTTCTGTGCCCCAATTTTAATTTCATTGTTTGGTGTTTTGGTGGCTAGCTTCTTGAGTTCATTGTATATTTTGGAAATCATCCCTCTCTCAGATGTGAGGTTGGTGAAGATCTTTCCCATTCTGTGGGCTGTCGTTTTGTCTTAGTGACTGTGTCTTTTGCCTTACAGAAGCCTCTCAGTTTCAGGAGGTCCCATTTATTAATTGTAGGAGCTTTATTTTTTACTTGAACTGGGATTGCAGAAAGACCATTTGCATTATGTGTCTGTAGAGAACAGCAGAAACAAACATTTAGGAAGATTTATAAAATTTTATCCCGTTGGACATGTGATATACCAATAGGCCAATATCTTAGGAAATTTTTTCTGCATGATCCATCCTTTTTCTTCAGATGTATCATTTGTCCAATGGTCTTCAGATTTCTTGGCTGAATGCCTTCATTCTCTTGAAAACACACACACAAAAAAAACCTTCCCCACCCCTAACTTTGGGAAGGTAACCTTTTGGCAAGTTATATTTGATCAAATGAAAAGAATTTTTTCGTTTTATAAGTTACTTCAGATTGAATGATCACACTGTTTGATGAAATATCATCTCTTATAATTAAGAGGTCTCTCCTGTTCAAACCAATGTTTATAATATATGATTTATGGTTTCTCCTAAAAATTTGTTTTGTCTTTTTTAAATTATCATTTTATTCATTTTTAATTTTTTTATAATTTATTTTATGTGCATTGGTGTGAGAGTGTCAGATCCCCTGGAACTGGAGTTACAGACAGTTGTGAGAAGCCATGTGGGTACTAGGAATTGAACCTGGGTCCTCTGGAAGAATAGACAGTGCTCTTAACCACTGAACTATCTCTCCAGCCCTTGTTTTACTTTCTAAAACTGTTCTGTCATCCAGAGCAGTATGTTTTTTTTATAATAGGCATTAAGTTCTTTAATTGCTCTGGGAAGGAGTTTCCTCCATGGTGACAGGGAATGACTGAACCAAATTTGATACAGAGGACTGTGAGAGGACCTCCTTCAAGGTGTTTCCTGATGGCTAAGGGTTAACTTGTTTGTCCCTTGTTGCTCTACATTTATTGGTCCAATGTTAGTCTTTGTCTCACCTTCTGCATACTTCAGAAGGGAGGGGCATTCTGTTTGGTTATTCTTAGAAAAAAAACATTGTTTCAGGAATGCCCTGCCTACAATTCCTTTTTAGGTGACCTTGTTTACTACAATTAAATTACCTGTCATTTTGACTTTTCTTTAAGTCTCTAGAAATTACCTCTCCTATCCAAGCATCATCATGGTTATGAGATTCAATAGTGACTGGATCTCAGATCAATTCCACTATGGGTGCTGATCTTGCCTTTAAAGGTCTAATTATTCTTTTGAATTGTGAATTAGCATTTTCAAAAACCAGATATTCAATTATTATTTGTCTAGGTTCTGAATTTTGTATCATTCTGTTTACTACTGAA